ACTTTTAAATTTTATGTTCGGATGTTGGAGTATGAAATGCGAAGTTTCGAACATTTAAATTAATGTATATTTTTTAAAATTAATAATTTGAAAATGATAAATTTGAATTATTGGGTACCTAAATTACGTATACCCACAAAATCCGAGTACCCGATTATTGGGTACCCGCAACATTCGGATCGTGACATGAGCCGATAAATTAACTACCGAAGACCGGTACCCGGATTTAAACACCCATAATTATAACTGTAAGCATAGATATCTCCACAGCAGGTTACTTAGAGGAGGATCTCAATGCTTTGACTGAGCAAAGGCATATTCGTCATATCTTTGTCTCTAAGATAATCGATAATTTAAAATGTACTTTTAATGTTAATAAGTTCGTATTAATCTCGAATACAATTTTATAACCTTAAACTTAAATTATCATCTTTTAAGTTAGAGCATTGTTTTGTTTTTATAATAATAATAATAATAATAATAATAATAATAATAATAATAATAATAATAATAATAATAATAATAATAATAGTTGAAAACAATCTAAATCAACTTTGACCACCTTATCCAATGCTCAATGCATCAGGCCCAAAATGTATTAAAGGCAAGGCCAATTTCATATACTCAAATTTAATTTCGACTCAAACCCAATAGCAATTTAATATAAACTCAATTTATTTAATCCAAACATTTACCCCAATATTCCATAGATCTCCAAAATATTAAATAAAATGTCGAATTACATTATTTTTTGTTTTTTAACCTTTGAACTTTTTTTGTAACTAATTAAATCAAAATAACACATTTTTAATAATTTAAAAAAAAGTCATGTTCCGGTTTTTATAATTATTACAGTTTTAATAATTCAAATATGTATTTTTATATTTTTATAGATTTTAAATATTTTATATTTCTTTATATATTTATTACTTTTTTTATTTTTTACAAAAAAATAATAGTTGTTATTCATTGAGGTCCCGGATTCTACCACCATGAATGCTAAGGGTATGACGTTCATTGTAATATAATTTAGAATTATCTTTAAATAAATATTACCTTATATCTATCCAATATTAATCAAATATATATATCCCTATTTTTGTAGTTTTTAAATATTTTATATTTTAATATTTTTAAATTTTTTATTTTTTTATAAAATAATAATAGTTAACATCAACATCAAATCTCTCTCAAAAACTCTTAGAATATAACTTTCCATTATTAAAATCATAAACTTTTGGCTATTACATCATCATATTTATTAATCCATTAATTAAAAGTTCACATCATTGTAGAGCTTTAATAATAGTTAATTACCTTGTCAGTAAACCCTTGCTTAATAAATTATAAATTTAAAAACATAAAATAATCTAAATGCCCCACATAGCACATCACCACACAACATGGTAGATAAATTATCATAATAAATTACTAATTTTATAAAAATATATTCTTTCTTTTTAGGGTTTGATTATGTTAAAAATTGCTTATGTGGGCTAAGAGTGCATAATGCAAGATTAGTTTTATGAGGAATACTATTGGTTTAAGGGAATAATTTCGGTCTTATAGTTATCTTAAATCAATAATGTTATCCATATCAATTTAATTTTTAAATTTTATGAATTACATTAATAGTTATTGATCGACAAAAATATTTGATGATCATTATATTATTGACAGGACAATTAAATGTATTGATATAATAGTCTAGCATATTAGCATAGTATTAACATGATAATTCATGTTGAATGATGATATGATACACAAACTTAATTAATTTTGAGTTGAATTAAAAAATATGATTAATTTTTATAGTTTAGGCTCCTATAATTTTTACATTTTTTTATATTAAGCCAACATATTATTTAGTAATTTTATTTAATTTTGTGAAGTATAGTGAGCATGCGTAATTTTTACCTAAATTATTTATTATTTCTTCATGTTTTTCAAACCTATAACCTTCAAGAGGCTTTGAGTAATGTTCGCAGCATGACATTTCTTCATGTTTCTTTAAGACACGGATCACACGATGAATGCTACTTTTAATTATTCCGCTTAGTATGCATGTTTAGAGTTTGTTTGTATGATTCTCTTCAGAATTTAACGTATGTTTAGAATACCCGAATTATTTTACGTGACTGGATATAGGATGTTACATGAATCATCAATTTTATTCATGCGGGAGAGTGTTGAAAAATAATCGATTAATTAATTGATATTGATATTATTAATAATAAGTCTTATCACTTAATGAATATACTTATTAATAATAAATCATGTCAATTGGCGAATGAACTTTTTAATAATAAGTCATGTTATTTGGTGAATAAGCTTATAAATTTTTGGTTTAAAGTTTATCCATTCAATCATAATTATTAGTTTTTCAACAATTCTCTTCATTAAAGGTCAAGTCTTTTCATCAAACGGTATTAACCTTTTTAATTCATTTCTTCTCCATTATATAAAGGTTAGATTAGACACAATTTTAACACAACTTAGGGAATTGAAAAGACTTGGAAAATCTTTCTAAATCTCTATGTACGGTGATAGAGAAAATCAAAATTATGTTCGGCTGATCACTGTTTTTGTGCTTATTACTGTGATCGTTTTTTGTTGTATCTTAGGAGACTAACGTTTAACATTACTCAAAGTACTAAGGAAAGGATAAATATATCTTAAAGAAACATGAAGAAATATTATCAAGATTCTTCGATACAAAGATACAATCTTCACTGGGGTTTCTATTTCGTTTCCTCACCCAAAATGATACAAAGATGTATTCCCATCTTGCATTGTATATGTCATGGGAGTCCCATTCATCGTTTCAATCACTTGTGGATGATTCTTCGATAATGCATGGTTAAGTATCTCAACATGTTTTTCAATTTTATCAAGATTCTAACCAAAGTCAGAAAACTTTATATGGTTACAATGTCCCCTGTTGCTCCAGTTGCCACCTCTGTTACATGAAACCAGCGGCGAATTCTATCCTCTTAACGATATGGTATGTTTGATGCAGAAGAAATAGAGACACAACAATGCGAATATGATCCACTTCGATTTAATTTCAATTTAAATCCTTAAATAACCAAACCCACAATGATTCAAACCTAAAACGTTGAGTGTTGTTGGTATTTACTTTACCATGAACAAAGTTGAGTCAAGTTTCGATTGATTTCTGAATTGTGGTTGCAATGTCCATGTTTAAGCTCACTTCCATTCCTTTGGGCATGGAAGTGACATGGACGATGTTTGGGTGACAGGTGAAGGTCGTGGTTCAGTAACCTCTGATGGTCTCAGATGAACATTTGGCTGGTTCAAGCATGTAGGAGGGGCAAGCAACATTGATAACGGGATGATAGGAAGTGAGCAATGCCCATGAATGTTGGCTCGTTGTGTTTAGGGTTGTACTTCCCAGAGAGCTCGCCAAACACGTCGTCTCTAGAGGCACTAAGGCAGTAACTAAGTTTACCAGCTCTTAGATTTTCAGTATTCTGGGGTTTTATGTAATCAAGATTGGTTAAGGTATTTTTGTCAGTGTAATGCAATGGAATTTGAAATAAATCATTTTGTTCTAAACAAGTGTTGACGTCTTTTTTGTAGATTGAAGTAAATGGTTAATTAAACAAGACTAATTGGGGAGAGAAATTGAAAGAAAAAAAGGGAGGTAGAAGAAGAAGAAAGAAGGGGAAAACGGGGGAAATGAATGTGATTTTTTTCTTTTTCTTCTAAGTTAAAACGATGACGTTTTATTTTAAATAATTTTATGTAAAGATTCAAAATTACATTATTTTATATGTTAGTTGCAATGTCATAATGTCGTTAATTATTTAATGGAAGAGTTACTAAAACATGAGTAATTCTAGAGTTGTGTTATTAAATTAAAAGTTTTAAACTTTAGTGGGTAACATGCTTTAGTGGTTAAAGAAAAATTATTCTTTCTTGAAGTCATGGATTCGAGCAGTTGTGTCAGTAGGATATATATTGTCAATATTTAAAAAATATTTTAAACATATATTGACTTATAATATCCTAAACTATTTAAAAATAAAAAGGAAATGATACTCTTTCCATACCAAATTCAAATTTTAAATATATGTTGTCGCATCCCAAAACGTAAGTTACAGCAAATAAATTATATAAAAACTTAAAAGAAAGATCCAAATTAAGATTTATTAGTAAAGTTGGTGTAGGAAAGTCACGTTCCGAGGAATCTTCCTTGAGAAACAAGGATGCTTGTTTAATGCGAAAAAACAAACGCATGCGGGGAGAGGGATTTGGCACCACTACTCTTCATTTGTTTAAATGATGTAAGCACCATTACACAATCTCTAATGGTTTCGGATTATAGTTGGTCTTGTTCTAAGCTCATGAACATGTATGATCCATGAACAAATCAACACATATATCTATTCCTAAATTTCAAGTTGATTTACAACACGATTTGGCTTTTTTAATTTCCAAGAAAAGTAACATTCGAATTTGATTAAGACCTCATCTATATCTTCTGCAACTTGTTGCTTTTAGGCATTTAATAACGAATTTGTAAATTATCAACGACTACTTGATTTAGTGAAATGAAACATTAGATTTTTTAAATAGGGTCAAAGAAATGAGTTGGGAGGGTCACCCTCATATTAGACTTCTATAGTATTCGATCTGAGATCGAATAATTATGTCTGCAAAGTATGTACGTTGTCAATAAATTAAAAAAAATCAAATATATTATCTTATAATCTCAAGTAAACTTGAAAACAAATAATATAGCCATCAAAAAATTGTCACCCCCAAACAATTATTCACCAACTCCAATACAACTCGCAACAAATAAGACAAGAAACAGCCGCATTAGCTTAAAACCAAATCAACGAATTTTGGGATTGCTTATTCATTAACTAGGGTAGTCTAAGATTTTGTTGAAAATGATTCAAAAGAAGTAACCATTTATAGATTCCATGGGGAGGTGAAAGAGAAAGAAAAGGACATCATATTTTCCATTTTTACAAATCATTGTCCGGAGATGTCCAAATGGAAGCTGATAGCAGACGTCTGGATTTCCAACCTAAGACAAGCCTGTTATTGTCCAATTCCTCCACCCTGTATCCGTCATTGAATAAGCCTAGCAGTAATTTTGCTTGACAATGATTGGCAAAGCTGATGTTAACACCCTTGAATCCCATTGTTGCTAACCATTTTGACCAACCACAGCCTTCTTCCTCTCCTCCGCTTCGGTAAATCCTTGCCAATGATCCGGCTATTCGTGGCCCTAGAAATACTCTTTCGACTAAGGCTCGAGCACAGTTTTGCATAGGGAATCCTGCTTCGAGAGAGTCATACACGGCCGAGTAATGGTGCAACGAGTCCATGAACCGTCCCACGAACCCTCCATCTCCAATGGGTCCGATTTCTTCTTCCACCAGGGTCACTAATCGAGGGTTCAAGGTCTTGGCAGCGGATAAAAACGAAGCGACCGAGTGAGGTGCTCGGTAGCTGAAGTGAGGCAAGTGCAACATACAATTCATTATCAACGCCTCTCCTCTAACTAACTTCAAGCCTGCTGGTCGAAACGTTTCATCAGAGTCCAGTCTACATTGATGAAATGAAAAGGGCTGCCCAATTGAGGCTGCAAAGGCTAATAATCTTCGACCTGTTTCTTGAATGGTCCCGATTGATCGCCGTCCGCTGCCCGATCTCGATAAAGCCGTGATCCTAAGATGTGGGGTTGGTGGTCCGTCTTTCCTGGACACCAAGGCTTGCATCAAAGACGCCCACTGGATCCCTTCCATGACATCATAGTCCACTATGTGGATCCTCCTATCATGGGAAACAGCTTCCAGGATAGCTTGATTAGCCGTAAAGTGACCAAATTTGACATACGGGGACATGTCTTGCAGCAGCTGAAAAGCTGTGAGCATCTCAGTGTGATGGTGGTCATCGCAGTGGTTGTACGATCGATTGTTTATTAAATACTTCCCATGGTTGCGGCCGGAGCCATCCAGTAAACCTTGTAAGGCCTCGGTGAAATAGGCCGATACCCTTTCCATGTTGGTTCCGTCATTGGGGGAAACCAACTCCTTGAGCCGAACCAATATCACCAGAGCCAATTCACGGCTCTTGTTAGCCCCCGCTAGCGCCTCAGCAGCGGCCATCAGCAGATGAACCAACCTCACCCCTTTGGAATCCTCACCCTGGGTTTCTTCATCCGCAACCATGGTATCAGTTGAGACTGAGTTACTGGTTTCATGGCCTACTCGAGCCAACTCAAACCCGGTCCCATCATCCATCATCGACTCAATGAGGTCTTGAAACTCATCTCGCTCACTGGATAATGAGTTCCAATCAACAAGAGGAGACCCCCAGTGATTCCAGTCAGAGGCAGGGCCATCGTCTGTGTTGGTCGTAGTGCTGCTGCTGCTGTAGAAGTCAGCCTCGAAGGCGTCGTCAGTGGCCATTGCCAATGGCTGGTTATTAGATTAAGGTCTTTGGATGTGTCAGATTTATATGAAGAGAGTCTAATTATTGGGTTTAAAAAAAGAGAGAGAAGAAGAGCTGGAACAAGAGACAGTAAGGGTAGGAAGTTAATTGAGTGATTAGAGATTTAATTAAGGGATCCTCGACTAAGATGGGATAGCTGTTCCCAATGTTGGTTGGTTTTATATACACCCCATCCCTGTGTCTTAATCACTATCTATCCATACTTGTATCAAATTTTTTGCCCTCCTATTTATGATTATTCTTAATCCAATCTCTCCTACAAATCAACATCAGTAATATGATGTTATCCACTTGGGTATATAATATTAATCACCTAATACAAGGAAAACCGCTGTTAATTTTTTTTATATAAATGATGAACATTATATTCAAATTCAAATCTCAAAGTGTGTAAAACTAAAAGAAAAATCAATAGTATTAACTATTGAAAAAATTACGATAAATTAAAATTTTGATTCATATTTTCAATAGGTTAAAGTGAACATCGGTAGTAGGATAACAAGCATGGGAAGTATTCATATACATCAATCTACTTGCTAGTCATTGAATTAAAAGTATATTTTATAGTTTCCTTAAATTCAAATATTGACATGATAATATTTTGTAGTTCACCAATATATATTCGATTAGATACTGTATTAATGGTTTATTTTTGAATTTATTCGGATACTCATTATAATGACCTTAATTTCAGAATATATTATTTTCAATTATTCTCTATATGAAACTCTATAAATACCGTTTAAACCTTTTAGGTTAAACGCAACTAAATAAATTCTTTTCTTCTCCTCTAGTTTTTGGTGATAGGCGCAAGCAAGGTATAATTCGTGATATCTCGGGCAACAAGGGGTGTCTGAAAATTGTCTTAAAGAAATTGTATACCTATAAACCTCAACTTGTTTCCAATCGGTTAATATGTACGGAATCGTGTATTTATTTCTAAACTATTCCTCTCAATTATTTCAGTAAGATTTTATTTTTTTCGTCTCAAATTGTTATACTTGTAACATTAACCACTCGAGAAGATTGTGACATTAGTCTATTAGTTTGGATTAATGATTTATAAGGGTCAAAGTCGAGATTTATTAACTTAATTGTTGATTGCATCCAAAATGGAGTGGGAGATAATAATTATCTTGCTAATTTGTTTATTAACTTCTAACCCACCACATGCTTGTTTCTATGATCCAGCACCCTCGTTTGCATCATTATAGGTCAACAATTCGGTGTCGTATTTATTTTGTTATTTTTTACTTTCTTTATTAGTTCTTTCGGAACACTTCCTATTTATAAAGGGAACATGTAATATTAATTAGGGTCATAATGTATTAATTCTTTATAGGTTTATAAATTCACACTATATATATATAAATTTGTATAGGTACCATACAATTCCTTGGAGAGAAATCTTAGAAGTATCGTTTATTAGGCAGTTGGTCAAAACTTCAATAATTGTTAGTGTCTATACGGCTTTGTGTTATGTTTTATTGCATCGAATTACAAGAATTTTCAAAACACTTGCATCGAGGAGAATCAAATCTTGTTCCCTATAGGAACTTTTGAGGCAACATTATAACATTTGTACTAGCTTTCAGGGCTTGAAAGTTACTCATGGTAACATGATAATAATGTATTATTAGATGTCACTTATTGTATGTGATATTACAATTATTTTAATAGTACTACTAACGTTACAAGAATCTATAGGGTCTATGATTAAAAAAATAGAATACTCGTGCGTTTAGAAATATTTAACTTTCACATAAATTAAATGATGAATTGAATTAATGAATGAAGTTGATTAATTGAATTAGTTTAATTGGACAGATAAATAGAAACCGAATCATATGTACAAATATGTTGAACACAAAATACAGGACAATCAAAATTATTATCATAGTTTTAATTCATTATAATCAAATAACTAATTCAATTATTGTTACATATCCGAAAAAACTAATTCATTGAAAGTGAGGCACTCCGAGTTGGTCGGGAACACGGCAGTTGCTATTGGGACGGCCAATGGATTACGGTTTGGGGACAACGTCAAGTCAAACTGACCGTTAGCACATCACTCCTAAACCTTTTCCCCTTGCTTTGTACTTCATGTTCTCTTCCCTTTTGTACTACATTTTCTCCCTTTACTGGTAGTACAAAGTACAAATTAATTAAACCGTGAAACCGAAGATGAAAAAAAAAAGCATATTGATCTCATTTTTTAAAAATGAAACTATCCCAAAAAAAAATTAAAATATATTGTGGATCTTTACCGTGCTCGAAAATGTTTGCCGATCGTTACCGTCAAAATCTCTACCACTCGGGTATCGAGATCAAAACGGATGTTGAGCAGAAGCATGACTGGGGTTTAGCCACATGTGGCGCTATAAGAAATAAACTTTGAGAGAATGGATTGTGGAATTTTCTAAAGCTATAGGTTGTTGTTCAACTCTTGATGCCGAGCTATGCGATGCTTTTGAGGGGCTAAATATTGCATGAAACTTGACGTTACCAATTGTTATTATTGAGACAGAAGTAAGAACGTCATAAAGATGTCATTTTATATTTTCATAGTTTTGTAGATCTATATTAATAATGTTGTGATACAAGCATAAAGGTTTTGTTTGTCTTAAATATAGACAAAATTATTTACAATCATGCATTAATCTTAATTTTTCTTCCATTCTTACGAAATCATAAACCAATCTTAAAGTCTTAATTAGATTTCATCACCAAGTCTCCTTCTTAAAGATAATTTGCATTCTAATATAAATCCCTATTTCTTTTATGAAAATCGCAATTTAATCCCAAGTTGAATTATCATATTAGGCTATAAGTATGCAGTTATTTCTAGGTGATTTATTGATGCCTTACTTGAAAAATAATTGAAATAATCATAGCACATGATTGTTTTCTTATGAGAACGTACTCATGATTTTATATTAGGGCTTAAACATATAAAATTTTAGGAAGACCAAAATAGATTATTAATAACTCACAATATGTCTCATCTCGTTTACGGTACTAGTCAAAACAACCTTCAATTGGCTTATTGCTCAACTACATTAGTTATGGTTTTAAAATAAAGAGATCTAATGGAATATTACTACTTAATTCCCAAATTATTCCGCTCGTTAAAAAATTTGGACCAATAGAAATATTCACTCGTATATTCCTGATTACACATGAGATTCCTTTGTCTCTTGTAAGCACCATCAGATTCCCTTTCTTTTAAATTAAAATAAACACCCTTTGTTCATCATCACAAACCCTCAATAATGCATTCATCAACTTGAACGTTTATTAGGGTTACCAATAATAATTTTCGGTATTCACAATTTTTTTTAATCATCTGCATATGTAGATTAGGTACCAAACACCTCTCCAGATGTATATCATAAACTTTATATATATATATGATTGGATAGTGGCCTGCTAAAACTCAAATTTGAGGAGAATTATTAAGAGATTAAAAGGCTAGAGACTGCAATGACAACTTTTTGTGTTTTTGCTTGATCAGGAGGTGTTCTGATGATTCTGAAACTGCAGGTTTGGACTTTGGGAACGAGTGAGTATGAGGGCACTGTGTACTGAACAACCGGCACGTTGTTAGCAATTAAAAATTAATTAAATTTTAAAAGACGATATTTTTGGAATTTACATTGCATGGTGTTGCCTTTTGTTTTTCGTTTTGTCTTTGGTACGACATTATTGATCTCAGTTGGGCTTTGAAGTCATCAAAAATGGAGTTTTTCAACTTACCCCTTTAATATATATATATATATGAGCGGGATTGGACTGATACAATAATTCTTTTATTTTCTCTTGTGACTTAGGTTTTACAACTTAACCTAACATTTCCTTCTTTCTTGGGTCATTCTAAACAACAACCCTCGGAATAAACTTTATCGATATTGGTTACACAAATCACGACATTTTCTACTTCTGTTTTTCTTACAATTCTTTGTTTATCTCAGTCTGATTTAAACATTTGACATTTGAAATTTTGTTTTTTCGTTTAAATAAAATAGAGAATAGTGTTAAAATTTGCATTCAACATTTGATCGACAATCACATTATCTCATATTTTTATTTAATTTAGTCTCTGATATTTTATTTTGAGTTAAAATGGTAAATTTTAGATAAAAATCATTAATTAATTAATAGTCAATATTTTTTATCTATAAAAAATATCTTTGTGGACTGAAATGTTGATACAAGTTACACTCGTAAATCCCAAAAACACTATTTTGAAACTTTCATGAACCCTAATCCTTCACATAGCTTTCCCTATCAACTTAAGCTTACATTTGTTCCGTTTTATAGCTTTGACGTGATAGGAAAAAATATTGCTGCAAAATAAAAGATATTAGCATTCACTAAAAAATATAAATAAATAAAGTAACGATGATATATACAATTAATGTATGGTGGTAAAATCTATTATCTTAGAAACAATTTCATGTGGTTTGGTGTAATTTCGATAATGAATGTTATTCCTAAGGTTAACAATCTTTCAAACCTCATACATTCGAAGTAAGAAAGTAAAACTCAATTAGTGTTGCTTCATTCAAACTGGAGACTAAGAGGAGATAAAAGAGAATACTAATAATGTATCTCCTTTTACATATGCAGAAGGAATATCCCTTATATAGAAGTGGTATTAGGGATGGGCATGGGTCGGGTCAGATTTTCGGTCAATTCGACCCGATCCGAAAATTATATATCATCCACTCGAATCCTATCCGATCCGAAAAATATACAATCTCCACTCAACCCGAACCCAATCAGACTTTTTGAGATAAAATCTGAACCCACTCTGACCCAACCCGAAATAATATATTTATTAAAAAAATTATTTTTATTCAATAAAAAATAGTAATCAAATTGGAAAAAATAATATATACAGTGACACTATTGTAATTATCCCTAAATATAAATGTAAAATTATATGTTTTTCTTGGGTCGGATATTTTTCACCCTAAATCCGAACATAAATTTTTTTTTTTTTTAAAATCTGACCCGATTGAATTAGGTCGGAACCCGTCAGATTCGGATCACATACCCATCCCTAAGTAGTATAAGAGAAATTATCAAATGACAATTGCTCACTCCATCCGCTCCTTAGATACGTCAGATTCGGGTATATTTCGATAGTTTTGGTTGCATTCTCGTGTTAGGTTTGGTGTGAGGTAGTCATGTATAAGCATTTTGTCTCTTTAGTATTGTGAAACTTCTTCGCCCTTCTTTAGTATATTCCTAGGATATAAAAATTGTATTGGCTGTAATGGTTCATTTTCGGTTGTAGTTCAGGAGATGGATAGCAGAAATATAAGGATAAAATAGTTTCTCTAGCAATGGTTTTTATTGGGGTTATTTTGGCCGTTATGTTTTTTGGCATTAATTTTTTACGGATTTCATAGGGGATCATTCTGTATCCACTATATGTGAATTTTATACTAAATAAAATATACATTGTGCGAAAAAAATTAAGAACGTTTAGTTTTTCATCCTATCAAATCAGTGAATTTGTCAAATCCATTTCAAAAGAACCAATCAAATCATAAACTATTAACTCATTAAGAGCATAAAAGACCATTTCACGTTAGAAGATTCATCAAACTCGCCTCACTAGAACCACGTAAATCATGAGTTATGAATATATTAAGAGCAAAAGTTTAACCTTATATGTTACATTGTTTGTCATAAAAATAAGTAAAGATATACATTGTGAGTCTTTTCATGACTTCGTTTGATTACAAGAAACTTCAATAATGAAATTGGATAACTACCATGAATTTCTCAACTAAATAGGCTTAAGACTTATGACAAATCATGATTCACTTTTCTTTTTAACTTTTAAGTTAAGAAATCAACAAAAGATTTTTTTTGTACCCTCTCATACTTCTATATAATTATTATCTTTTTATTTTACCGACATATGTCTTGTCTCATCATTTTAGGCTTTGATTTTGTTGGAACCGTAGGTGGGCACTTAGTAATTTATACAACTCGAACTATTATTGATACGAGATAAAATACGTTACAACGACTTTAACTCAATATTACAACAATACTACAACACTAATTGAGGCTTGTTTACAAACACAACCTCGCTATTCTAAGCTTTACTAAGCTTCACCCTTTCTCTCATAGCTTTGCTAAGCTATCATTCTTGTTTTTCTAAGCTTTTCCTATATTCATTCTCTTTCACTTTGCATACATTTATAAGCTAATTAAACATACATATAGTTGGTTCTACATTCTTCATGCCGCCTTATAATTCCTTACTGGAGGATTTACTTTGACTTTTCAAAGTCTTTTGTTGCTAAGTAACTCATATGCTTGTACAATACTCTTCAATTTTCTATAGCTGTATTTTTTGACTTTCAAGTTTGATTTCCATGCTGCCAACTATTTGTCATATGCATATTTTCAACATTATAGAAATCAAGTTTGATTTCTAACAGATTTTTAGTCACACTTGATAGTTTATGAGTCACGTAAAGATACAAAAAATGAAAAACTTTCCTCTTAAGGATTCTCAACTGATAAATTCCTAATTTATTTGACCTCTTGTGTGACTAAATAAAAAATTATTATCTCAGAATTCACAGTAGTTATAATAAAATAAAATTATTTTTATAAACTTATACAAAGCTACTCCACCAAGATAACACACTACCCACTAAAATTTTATCATTTACCAATTTTCCAATATAAAGAAATTATTTAAAATATATATTAGTTTAAAACTTTTAAAAGGCATATTTTCACCTATTTCTTTCTATCTATCTCTATCTCGGACCTTCTTTATCATCTAACTTGTATATGGGTGGATGACCTTTCTTAGAGACTCAAGGACCGTCACTGTGTAGTACTCCTTTGAATTGGTGTGTTGTACCCCTCCAAGTAGAGCAATCCAACAAGTCTCCCAGATCTCTCTAACATCATCACTCGCAGACACACTCAGTGACCAAGAGACCTGTTGTAGCTAGTTTTACAAGCCAGCTTATACATTAATTAGAAAAATCCCATCTCACCCACATTATCAATGGGCTTAGATTCATCATGACACCTTGCTACCTACACCAATTCCATCAACTCATTTGAATAAGGATGGACCTGGAAAGAAGAGAGATAATCGTTATTTTAAAATTTTAAATTCTTATCGTAAGTTATTCCCATTAATACATACATTTAAATATGTTTCAAATAATTTTTAAGTGCTGCTTTATATACTAACTTATTATATATGTGCAAAAGCTTGCGAATAACTCTTAGAATTGTTCGAAATATGATTAGATTTGTGTATTGATATGAATAAATTATGATGTTTCTTAACTATATTTAGATGTAAAATTTGTAAGTCTCAGCTAATCTAGTAAGAATACTTTGCATAAGTATTGATTATATAATTGTATGATAATAAAATTTAGTAATGAAATATGATTATATGTGTATATTGATATAAAGAATTTACGATGTTTTTTAATTATATTTAGATATAAAATTCATAATCTCAACTAATCTAATAAAAAATATTTTATTAGTAAAGAAAATAAGAATATTTTATTTAAAGATCACATTAATTTTTAATTCAATTTGTTTGTTTAATCCGATTTTCTCAACAATGATTATGACTGATGTAATACCATACCAAGCTGTATATTGGCAAAGGATGGAGTAAACTGGAAAAAGGACTAAATTTAAACAGTAAGAAGAATATTTATCCAAAAAATAATCATAAAGTTGATTTTACAGTAGGAAAATATTGTTCAATCCAAACTTTATCAACACATTGCATGCTTGAGAAATAGGAAGTTCTAAAATACAACTTTTTAATATAAAGTTAAGAAATAATAAAAATCAGTTATAATTAGATTTTTTTATCAAGAACATAGTTTTTTTAGGTTAAATAAAATAACTTTTTAAGTTTAACAGATTGCAATAATTTTGATTGTAAACCTTAAACCTTGCAATGTAATTTTTTGGTTGTAACCGAAAATGTTACAAATTTATATAACTTTTAAAGTTGAATATAGTAACTATTTAAATTAAAACCATCTTAAATTTACTTTAAATTAGACTGCTCTACAACGTAACTAACCTTAGAAAAATAATCTTTGATAGATCCAAAATATGAAGCTTAAAAGGCTCCAAGTTTATCTTGCTTTTTCTCATGATTGCCACAAAGCTAAGCAAAATTGAAAACGCTGCGTTGAGTTCACATTGATGTTATGATATACAAATTAAATATAAATTAAAAATATGTTTGTACAAGATAAAATAAAAAATTTAAGTGATTACAAAGTAATATATATTCAAAAAATTTATTAAACTATTGAATAGGTGTACACATATCCTATTGACAGTTATTCGAACCCGAATTCTTTAAAAGAATAACATTTTTTTTTACTACTAACATCACTTAATAGGTTAGAATGATTTGATTGTTTTGGTTCTAAACAATTCCTTAAGTAAGAATTAATAACTAAGGCTTGTTTTTGGCTCAGTTAACAAGGGATTAAATGACATGCAACCTCAATCATTCCCATAATTTGAACATGTCGCCGGAATCTCACCTAATTGTGATTGGTAAAGGAACATCCGAAGATCATGGTTGGATGGGATATGCCTAATCAAATGGGCCAAACACTAAAAGCAAAAGGACCTTATCAAAAATATTCTCATCTAATCAACCCCCTTCAATCTTGGTTTAGATTACTTTGACCCCCAAAAATACCAAATACCACACAAATGATATTATTATACATAGGGGGATATAAAGCCAGTTGGCACACGTGTGGTGCTAATCATGTTCACCACCAAACCTCACCTCAATGTAATTATTCACTCCATCTTTTTAGCCAACCCCAGCATTCATACTCAAATCAAGTATACACATCTTTTTTCTTTTTCTTGTATTTGTTTCAAAATCAAACCATGTTGAGTGTTTTCTTTGTGATGAAGTAGGCCCCAAAGTGGACCACCCGCTCGTGCAATGCATGAGAGCATGGACCCGTCACCTTCCAGTCGGCCCAAAGGAGCAAAGGACTGATATGAGCTTGTCACCCATGGGGGACATTAGATGCATCACACTCCCCCCAAAAAATGAAAGCTAAAGCTAGAACCAAGTAAAGACCAGGGATGGACGGGAGGGGACGGGAGGGGACGGGAGGGAACAGTAGCCTTTTTGAAATTTTCAATTTATCTTAAATTATAGATTTTTTAATGTATTTTTATTGATAATTTGTTTTCACCCTTCTAAATTTTTTTAAATTCGTGTCTAAGATAAAATCATGTGTCAGTACCTGATAAAATCCATGTGTTTGTTTTTTTCATTCACAACTTTCGAAGGGTTAATACAACTTTCAAATATCTATATACATGTACTCAATCACATTTCTCAAAGGGTAACATCTAGGTCCCCACTGGGGTGATTCAATTATTGCTCAACAAATTCTTTTAATAAAATAAAGAAAAGAAAAGAGCATGGCAGCTGCTTAACAAGTAGATAGGCGGAAAGAAGCTGTTACTTTTATCTATAAAAATAGGCTTAAAATTACTCCATCACAACCCCAACATTGCTACTGAGGCTTACAGTCACTGCAAAACATGGCTTCTGAGAAGGTTGAAACAGTTGTAGCTGGAAACTATTTAGAAATGGAAAGAGAAGAAGGAGATTCCAGGTCTGCAAAGAGCAAATTATCCAACTTCTTTTGGCATGGTGGCTCGGTCTATGATGCATGGTTCAGCTGTGCTTCTAACCAGGCACCCTTCTTCTCTAGTCTCAAGCTTCATTTCTCTTATACATGTTGTCAATCAATTTGAGCTAATCTTTCCCTTGTTTTACCTTTCTTTTTTCCTTTTTTTGTTATGAAATTGCATATAGGTTGCTCAAGTGCTACTTACACTGCCATATTCATTCTCGCAACTAGGAATGTTATCAGGGATTTTATTTCAACTTTTCTATGGCTTGATGGGAAGCTGGACAGCATATCTTATAAGTTTACTTTATGTTGAGTATAGAACAAGAAAGGAAAGAGAAAAAGTTGATTTCAGGAATCATGTAATTCAGGTAAAGACTATAAAAAGACCTACCCAAGTTATTTTTCTTTTTTCTCATACTGAATGTTCTTTTAGAAAGAAAAGGTTACACAGCTTTTTTGGGTTCTTTTTTCCATTGCAGTGGTTTGAAGTTCTTGATGGATTGTTGGGGAAACATTGGAGAAACATAGGTCTTTTTTTCAACTGCACTTTTCTGCTATTTGGATCAGTCATTCAGTTAATTGCCTGTGCTAGGTAAAAGAAAAATGAATCATAATTATGGAAAATATTGTATTCTTTCAGTGTGAATGTTTTGTCCATTTTGTTCTGATACTCCATCAATGCAAATACAGCAATATCTACTATATAAACGACAACCTTGACAAGAGAACTTGGACGTACATTTTTGGCGCCTGCTGTGCAACAACTGTGTTTATTCCTTCATTCCATAACTACAGAATTTGGTCATTTCTTGGCCTCATGATGACTTCTTACACTGCATGGTACATGACAATTGCCTCCCTTCTCCATGGACAGGTACGTCCCGTAACATCTACTATATACGTTTTCATCATCTGTTATGCGTTTTATTCTCGATCTCTCAAAACTTTTCTCTTTGTTTCCACGTGGAAAGGTTGATGGAGTTAAGCACTCAGGGCCAGCCAAGATGGTTCTCTACTTCACTGGAGCCACCAACATTCTTTACACCTTTGGTGGTCATGCTGTTACAGTGTGCGGACTTAAAACTAAAAATCTATAGACATATGAAAGTTCATGGATTTGGATAATAAATGATGATAAATATGTTTTGATTTTAGGGAGATCATGCATGCCATGTGGAAGCCACAAAGGTTCAAGATGATATACTTGTTAGCAACACTTTATGTGTTAACCCTAACTTTACCATCAGCTTCTGCTGTTTACTGGGCTTTTGGGGATTTACTTCTCACCCATTCCAATGCTTTATCATTGCTTCCAAGGACTGGTTTCCGAGACACTGCGGTTATTCTCATGCTCATTCATCAGGTCTGAGTCTATGAAAATTAACTCGAGATTGATTCATATAATCATCATCAAGAGTAATATACACTTGTCATTTTTTTTCAGTTTATTACATTTGGATTTGCCTGCACTCCTCTATACTTTGTGTGGGAGAAATTCATTGGGGTGCATGAGACCAAGAGTCTGTTCAAGAGAGCACTGTCTAGACTCCCTGTGGTTATCCCAATCTGGTTCCTTGCAATCATCTTCCCTTTCTTTGGCCCTATCAACTCAACCGTCGGATCTCTCCTTGTCAGCTTCACTGTTTACATTATCCCTTCATTAGCACACATGATTACTTTTGCACCTGCATCCGCACGAGAGGTTTGTAATCTTTGTTCTTCAATTGTCAGCGTCATTACCCTAATGCATAAACCTTCTTTTAAGTTAAGTTTTAATAGTTGATATCAATATTTGCGAACCCATCCATTAAAGAGACGGTTATTATCTCTGGAGTGCTAGGTTCGAACAATTATATTTGTAGGTTGATTATTGTCAATCATTTAAAAAGATTTTCAAGAGATGCTACCTCGTAATCTTTTTGTACAGTTAAAAAATCAGTATATGTTGTTTTTTTTTTATTGTGCAGAACGCGGTGGAGAGGCCACCGTCATTCCTTGGAGGCTGGGCAGGCATGTACTCCATCAATATCATTGTGGTGATATGGGTTTTTATAGTAGGATTTGGTTTTGGAGGATGGGCGAGCATGCTTAATTTCATACAACAAATTGATACATTTGGTTTGTTCACCAAGTGCTATCAATGCCCTCATAAGCCTTAAACTAGGATTCATCTTCTTCCCAATGATTAACAAAGTTTTAGATTTTTTTTTTCTCTTGAGTGTGTAAAGAGATTGGCATTTGTAAGTTGTAGTTCTCATTTTTCCTTTTTTTTTTTCATTGTTGTACTTGTAAGAGAACTATTATTAATGGTTTCCATAGTGTGATGGCAATGATGGCCACCCCTATACAAACCTGTAGTTGTAGCTTTGTGTGTTGATTAATCCCTCTTTTTTAAAAGATAAAAAAAACCTTCTGTATTCCCATGATTAAATGAGACTAAATATATCGCAAGTTACTCGAATTGGACTCATCAAAGTTCAGTCAATATTGATTCGAATGCTCTCAATTCTAACCAAAATGAATTACTTGATACTCGATTCAAAAAGCTTGCGAGCAACTCGAAAAAAAATATATTGCATTTTTAATTTTTTAAATTAAACTATTAAAAATTAACATTTACATGTTGATTTTTTTTAAAAAATGCAGTATAAGATTTTCATGTATTGAAGGTTCATATTCGAGCTTCTATTGAGTTAAGTGTGAAATTGTTTTGAGTTCAAATTTTTTTGAGCTCGAGTCAAATTTCAACTTTTTAATTTTGAGTTCGAGTCGAGTTTTATAATTTTAAACCGTGAGCTTTCGAGTCAAGTCGAGCTCAACTTTAAATTTTTTAGTCGAATCGAGCGCAATTCAACTCGTTTACTACCCTACCTAGGATTAACCTCTCCATGTATGTCATCCCTGTCAATTAAAGCACATCATTCAATGGCAAATATATTGCCTTTCTCTTTTCCTATAATTGTATAATTGGTTGATATTTTTTATTCACATTTTACATCAAATCTCATCATCTTCCTTCCCACATTCACATGTCATCAATAAACATGGACTAATCATGGTTTCATGCTATGGAATATGGGGGGTGAAAAGTGAAAACTATATTGTATATGTTATTTAATTTGGAAAGGCAATGAAAGGCTTTATATCATAGAAACTTATCTAATGGCGTCATATCTTTTATCGCTTACTGGGTAGGTTTATATCAATTTTTGGAGCAAAATTTGGCAGAATCTGAATTGTCGTTTAGGCATTTAAAGGGGTTTTTTTCTTCTTTTTATTGGGTGGGTCTTGTCTTCATAACTCAAAATTGGATGTTTGCTTACTTTGAAATGTTCCCTTTGCACATTGCGTTTGACGACAAGGGAATGGAGCAAAGGAGTTGAAGGGTGATTGGAAACATATAGAATTATTGGTGTCACCCACATGCCCCTTCATAATTATTGCATTCCATGCAAATATAAATGTCTAAAATGATTTTTTTTTAACTATCGGTATCCATTCTATTAATCGATTATTTCAAATTAGATTTTGCATAGTCTTATTATGGGATAACTCTCCCTACCCAGTTTATTTCATTCTCAAACACCAAGAATTTACATTCTTGATATTGTTTAAAAGGTTTAATGTCTCATCCCACTAAATTAATCAGTTATTACTTTTTTCTTTTTTGTTGTAATTGTTTTGTTATACAACTTTAGATATGTGAGTGCAGCAGAAAGTGAGTCCAAATAAAAATGAAAAAAATATATATTTATAAACCCAAATTTGAAGAGCCTGTAGATGTTTGTTATGGTAAGAAGATCACAAGTTTAAAATCAATCAAAATATTCTCTTTTGATTCCCTTTTTTCATACATAATGTAATCTCCTATAAGATGTATTGATATGAATAATCCAATTTTCTTAGATATGTCTTAATTTTAAATATCGATGTAAATGATTTAGACTCTTTAACGTAATGGAGTTCAACTATACTTCGTTTAAGTTTTCAAAGCTGACTTAGGTACCTACATGATCAAGAAACGTAATATATTTTACAGATTATTGTATAAGTTCTTTTTACATTAATGAAATCTATTAGTGTCTATTTTTGTAACACCTTCAACCCGTACTTTTACATAAACATATTTAAAACCTTAACAGACTCCATCAGAGCGTACATATATATCATGACTTAGTTACATGCCAACATACTAAATTATATGACAAGACATACTTTACAAAATATTTCTGATCTGAACTTTGCGCAGAGGTATGCTGCTTTACGAATCCGAAGCATGATCTTCTGACTTTTCACACCTACGTGTAAAACACTTACACGTTAAGTCATAGACTTAGTGAGACATATAAATACATATGTAAATTATCAAATGCATGTACATATCATGTAATACAACGTCATACTGGTATACCTACTTTTTCATGTAACAATTACATACACACATGCATGTCACCATTTATATTTTCTCATACTCTTATATGATTATCCTTTCTATCTTTTATCTCTTGTTCATATGATCTCTTATTTTCATATTCTATATCTTATAACATGTTCTTAAATCATCATATGAGTCCTTGATATTCATTCATATATATATACCTTAACATATATTCATATACATCTCATAACAAATGCCCTAACCCATAACACACATTCTTTCCTATAACATATACACACATTCACATATATCATCATATAAAACATGTAACACATTTCTCATTGCAACTCACATTTTATCGTTATCTTTTTGGTTAGCCCATGCACACTACTGAGAACTTAAGGTATATGAGTACATAGAGGTTGTGCATTATGCTGTCACCACAGTTCGTATAAATCCCATTAGGTGTAACACCCTCAACCCGTATCCGACCCGGATACAAGTCTGAGGTGTCACATTGACTTTTCTAACTTTAAACTTTTAACGAAAACCAATGAAATTTAAAATTTTTATTAAAATAACATTGTCACTGTACACGAGTTAACCAAAACAAGACAAAACTAATCCGAGCATTTGTAACTACCACTTTTCTTACATGCCAACACACTACATACAACAAAATACCTATTGTGACTTTACTTCTGATCTGATCACTGAGTAGAGATAGGTTGATCTGCAAATTCCTATTCTTGATTCTCCTGCTCTTCGAAACCTACGTGTAAAAACACTTACACGCTAAGTTATAGACTTAGTGAGGCATAATTACATAATAAAGAATTACTAAAATATAAACAGGTCATCTACTATCCGAACACAATTATACTATCATACCATCATGTATTATACCATATATGAGCCAATATAAATCATAATAATACCATATTAAGATACAATTATATACATCCTCGTTATATCTTATTTAAGCCCATATACACTATTGAGAACCCAAGGTATACAAGTATTATGAGGTTGTGCACACGTATTCTGTCACTACAGCTCAATGAATATTCCGAAGGACCTATCCAGAGGTCATAAAAAAATCCTCGATAACTATCCAGAGGTCATACAGATCCTTGGTAACTATCCAGAGGTCATAAAGATCCTCGGTAACTATCCAGAGGTCATAAAGATCCTCGGTAACTATCCAGAGGTCATAAAGATCCTCGGTAACTATCCAGAGGTCATAAAGATCCTCGGTAACTATCCAGAGGTCATAAAGATCCTCGGTAACTATCCATAGGTCCCGAAGAACCTAGGTAAACTATCCATATGTTCCTTAGAACATAGGTATACTGTCCATATGTCTCAAAAGACATAGGTAGTTCTTTGACTCTTGGCATGCCAACTATACTTACAGTTCTCATAACTCATATCATGGGCATTGTCTTTCACCTTATTACATATTCACATATCATATCACATTTTCTTTTTCTATAGCTCTTTATCACCTGTTCATATGATCATCTTATTACCTATATCTTTTCATATAACCATTACATACATACATGTCATCATTTATGTTTTTATCATACTCCTATAGTATTATCATTCATCTCTTGTTCATTTTTCATCCAATAACTTATATAAATGTATATATATATCACGTATACTAGTTCCTAGGTCCCATCACACTAGCATATTTCCATATTCTTTCTTATGTCCTTTCCATACTTCTTATTTCATATTCTTATGAAATCATATTGGTCATTTTAACTATTTCACATATTTAACACATTTATCTACCTATTTACACAACTCATATAATATATATATATATATATATATATATATATATATATATATATATATATATATATATATATATATATATATATACTGTAACATGTCAATAAATATGCTCATTCATACATATAAACCATAACAAACACATCACACACACTTCATATACCTAATATAGATATCTCGTAACTCATTCAATCCCATATGACACATACCTTCATATATAAGCTCTAATCTGGAAAAAATAGACTTACCACAATCTGCATAGTATATCCCATAAGGCATATGGTATGAATTCATATCATATTTAATAATATTGAATGAATCATGTATCAAGATATTAAATCTAGACTTATCGCTAGTCTAAAACTGAATATACTAACATAATCATGTTATGCACATGCACTCACCTTAGCCTTGTTTGAATTGAACCAATTCTAACCCGTCGATTACTTTGAATCAAAGTCACGTTCAATATCTACATAAGCATGATTTTCAAGATGATTATCAGATGCCTAAGTCTTGAAATTAACCTCTAATAGCCTACTAATTTAAGAGATTAATAGTTAGTCTCTCTTCTTTCTTCTTCTTTTTTTCATTATGGGGGAATCGGTTCCCCCCCTGGGGGTATCGATTCCCCTCTGGCATTCTGGAATTCATATTCGTTTGAGGGGGGATCGATTCCCCTTGAATGGGTACCGATTCCCCTAGCCCAGAAATCCCATTTTGAGCTCGAAAATCACCTTATTTCAGCTTAAACCTTCCTATTTCACTTCCTTTAATACTCCTAACTTTAATACACATACTTAAACTTATTTCTATTCACTAATCACTTCTTTAACTTAAAATCTAGTCATTCCTATGTAATTGCAAAAATTATACTAGTTTTGCAACATGTTCAAATTCCTATTCTAACACTTCCTGTCCCTTAATTAACTTGATGATAAGTCAAATTCAACTTTCAATTCTCAATATAAACTTTATTTCGATATTTCATTCAAAAACTTCAAATCTTTAAATCATCATAAACTCTTCATTTTGTTGTTTTACAGCAAATTAATCTTTCCTT